TCTTCTGTCCATGGGATCTCCAGGCAAGAGTACTGGAGTGGGTTGCTATTTCCTTCTCCAGGATTTCCTTCTTCCCCACCCAGGGATCAAACCTGGCTCTCATGCATTGCAGGAAGATTCTTTACCATCTGAACCACCAGGGAGTGCTCTTTAAAATGCAGAGAGAATGCAATGAAAAGACCACATGGGTGGCTGCCAGAGTGAACCAAGTCTGATAACATGAAGTCAAAGATCCAAGCATAGTTCCCATCTCACATGCAGCCATTTCAGAAGGGAGTCACCAGCTGCCCTGGGGTCATACTCTCTCCCAGTCATATTTGTCCATCAAGTTTGGTGGTAGCAGTGGTGATTCAGTCACTAAGTCATGTCTGACTCTTGCAACCCCATGGACTGTAGCCCGCCAGGCTCCTCTGTCCAAGGGATTTCCCAGGCAAGAATACCAGAATGGGTTGCCATTCCCTTCTCCAGCAGATCTTCCAGACCAAGGATCAAACCCATGTCTCCTGCATTGCAGGCAGTTTCCTGCATTGATTGCATGTGGATTCTTTACCGCTGAGCCAGTGGGGAAGCTCTCAAGGTTTGACTGGTTTTAATTCCATTAGGTAGCCTGAGCTTTCCTGCTCTGGAGCATGGAGTGGGCAAACAGCTTCCACCTCAAGTAATCCAATTCAGGCCTCCAGGCACCTTGGTGGGACTTGTGAATTTCAGGTAGTTTTATACCTGGGAAATATTTAAGTCTCCAAAGAGACCCCCCCCCCCACCCCAGTGCGCAATCCTCCCAATTTTAAGGTGGGTAAACTGAGGCTCCGACTCTCTTCCAGACAGTTGGGTCTAGAACTTGTGTGTCTTCTCAAAGAGCTCTGGGAGGCCTGGGCAGCTGCATTGGGAGACCTGGGGGGAGCTCCAGCCCCAGAGCAGGAGGTGGCACAGGAACCCTGGCTCTCAAGGCCTCCGCTCCTTGTTCACAAGGGGTTAGCACTACTCTCGGCTGGTGGGGAGCTCAGTGTCCATGTATTCTTCGTGACCCTACAGGACTGTGCTCAAGTAGCTTGTTTTTCCTGTGTTGTTTGGGGAGAGCAAGGAGGACAATTCACTGGCTGGGGTGGGTGTGTGTGTTGGAGGTTGGGGGTGAGGATGAGGATAATCTGGACAGTGAGAAGGGCAAGCTTAGGGTCAGGAGCCCTGGGTTCCAGCCCAGTTCTATACCCAGCATGTTGAGTCCCTTGAGACGAGCGCCTCCCCCTCTGGACCCCAACTGCTCTGTTAAGTGGGAGTGATGGTGGATGGACGTGGGATCAAAACGCTGTCCGGGCCTGGCCACTCCCTGAGCCCAGACTGTCCCCTGGGTCTGACTTCACCCGACTGGCCCCAGCAAACCTCTGACACCATTCTGCTGCCTCCACCCTCTGTCCTGTCCTTCCCCCAGGGGCCTGACTCCAGCTCCCCACCACACAGCGGGCTGGGCGGGCGGCGGTATTGGTCAGGCCTAGGCGGGGGGCCTCCAAGCCCACAAATAACCTCTTGAGCTTCTTTCTGGAGCCAGCATCCTCTCTGTCCCCTCCTCTTGAAATCTGAGCTCAGGGATCCAGGGAGGACTCTCCCTGCCAAATATTCCATCCAGTTGTCCAAACACTCTGCACAGCTGGCGGAGGGAGGGGCCAGAGCCCAGCTCTCACCCTCGGGCTGTTGTTTTCATGGAAATGGCTGCATTCTCACTTGGAGGGCCAGCCCATGGGTTGCTTTAAGGGGGTTCGTGGGGCCAGGAGGATCAAGAGCCCCCAACATGCCCTCCTGCTAAACTGGAAGGAAAAAGTCAGGCAGTGGTCTTCCCCTGGTTGGGAGGATCCAGGTGTGTGTGGCCGCCTCACCCCGGGAGGTGGCAGCGGGCGCTGGCAGCCTCGTGAGCATCCCCTCGTGACTGGGCTCGGCGCGGTGGCGCAGTGGCCGGGGGAAGGGCAGGCGGTAACGACACAGAGAGAGCAGCCCCAGAGAGAGTCAGAGAGAGCTGACTTAGGACAACAGCTTTTCCGGGCAAGCAGCCCCAGACCTGGCTGCCTTGTGGGTCTGACCTACCAGTGACCCGGGACGAGTCTCCAAGCCTCAGTTTCCTCACCTGCAACAGGAAGGGCTTTGGGGCTGCTTCTGCCTCTGATTTTCCTAAGTCATGGCCAAGGACAAGGTCCTCACAGCTCCCCCCTGCAGTGCCAGCTGTGCCTAAAAGTCCAGGAAGTGGCAAGACTTTTGTCGACAATCCTCAGAACAGCTCTGACTCAGTTTCCCCTCAGAGAGGATGGCTAGGACTTGGCAGAGCGGGACCATCACCTATACACTGTCACCAGCCAGGCTCAGCCCCTTTGTCTCCTGCCATGTCAGGGTGATGGAGAGGCAACCCCCTCCCCTTCCTTCACACATCCTGTTTTTCATTAATTGTTTCCAGGTGGGCCCAGAGGTTGCCCTGCAGAGGAAGGTGGAGGCACGGGAGAATTTAGCAGGGGAATCAGTGAGGAGCAAAAACAGGAAGGGGTTGGGAGCAGGCCATGGAAAATTCATTGCCAGGAAAGAAAGGCCAGCATCTGGTTTGCATTAAGCTGAGAGAGCTTCGAAGGCCAGAGCCTGAGTGGGAGATATTGTTATCCATCCACAGGGCAGGCGGGGTGTGACTGCTAGTCAGGAACTGGCAGCTTATCCCTGCAGGAACTCAGGGGCTAACAGGAAAGAAGAGGGAAAGCAAGGAAGAAGGCAACAGGAAACTCAGTCTCCATTGTGGCTGACATCTCATGAATGTTATCTTCTTTTTTTCTGGCTGCACCATACAGCATGCAGTATCTTAGTTCTCCCACCAGGGATTGAACCCACATCCCCAGTAGTGGAAGCTTGATGTCTTAGCCTCTGGACCACCAGGGAAGTTATCTGAATGTTATCTTCTTTGATATTCACAACTTCACAGGGGAGAGTTGTCCCCATTTCATAGCTGTGAGAACTGAGTCCCAGACAGGTTAAGTGACTTGCCCAAGGTCACACAGCCAGGGAATGGCAAAACTCCAGATTAGAATTCAGGCCAAATGAGATAAGATGGAACATTCAAACCATCACACGGGTGGATTGAGGCTGACTATGCGCCAGGCAAGAGGCCACTGAGGATTTGGTGATGAGTGCAGGCCAGCCTCTGCCCACGGGGTCACTCAGTTTGTGTAGGGGCGTCTGATGGTGCTATGAGACACTCATCATGACACAAGGTGGACCATGTGTCTGAGGGCTCCAGTCCAGTGCCCGCAGAGGAAAAAGCAATCCAGAGGGGAAGGTTTCCTGGAGGAGGGGATATGAGCAAAAGAAAGAAGCTTATCAGAGAGGATTGTGATGGAGTGGAGGCTGCAGAGAAGGGGATACTGTGAGGATAGTGGGAAGGAGGGGCGTACAGGTCATGTCTAGGTAATAGCAGCTAGCCTGGTGTGGCTTTGAGAGTGAGGGTTCATGTCATAGTTTGGGAAACAGAAGCATGGTGAGCCTAAAGTGCCCAAATGTCTGGAAGTGGTTGAATCCAGCCTGTCTGACTCCAGGTCTGTGTTCCTCCTAACTGCTACACTGACTGGTCCCTTTTGATGGTAGTTAAATCTGCTCACAATGCAGATGATACCACCCTTATGGCTGAAACTGAAGAACTAAAGAGCCTCTTGATGAAAATGAAAAGTTGGCTTAAAACTCAACATTCAAAAAATGAAGATCATGGCATCAGGTCTCATCACTTCATGGCAAATAGATGGGAAAACAATGGAAACAGTGACAGACTATTTTTTAGGGCCCCAAAATCACTGCAGATGGCGAATGCCGCCATGAAATGAAAAGACGCTTGCTCCTTGGAAGAAAAGCCATGACCAACCTAGACAGCATATTAAAAATCAGAGGCATTACGTTGTTGACAAAAGTCCGTCTAGTCAAAGCTATGTTTTTTCCAGTAGTCAGGTATGGATGTGAGAATTGGATTATGAAGAAAGCTGAGCACTGAAGAATTGATGTTTCTGAACTGTGGTGTTGGAGAAGGCTCTTGAGAGTCCCTTGGACTGCAAGGAGATCAAACCAGTCAATTCTAAAGGATATCAGTCCTGAACATTCATCGGAAGGACTGATGCTGAAGCTGAAACTCCAATACTTTGGCCACCTGATCTGAAGAACTGACTCATTGGAAAAGACCCTGATGCTGGGAAAGATTGAAGGCAGGAGGAGAAGGGACTACAGAGGATGAGATGTTTGGATGGCATTACCGACTCAATGGACATGAGTTTGAGCAAGCTCCGGGAGATAGTGAAGGACAGGGAGGCCTGGTGTGCTGCAGTCCATGGGGTCGCAAACAGTTGGACACGACTGAGCAACTGAACTGAACTGAACTGAACTGAACGCAGTAAACCTGGGTTCGGTCCCTGGGTTGGGAAGATCCCCTGGAGGAGGGAATGGCAACCCACTCCAGTATTCTCACCTGGAATATCCCATGGACTTAGGAGCCTGACGGGCAGCAGTCCATGGGTCACGACTGAGTGACTAACACACAAAAGTTTTAAGAGGATATTGAGGGCAGGGACCACAGGAAGGTCGGGGTGGCGGTGTTACATGAGACCACAGAGCCAGCCAGTGACAGGGCCAGGGCTGGACAGGCTCTTTCCATCTTGCCAACCTGGGCAGGGAGGGGACAGACTGCCCCAGCCATGGGCCTTGGAAAAGCCAGGGGCTGTGGGCATGCTAAAGCGAGGCTCCCGCCTCCCTTTGAGGTATCTCACCTTCCCTGGGAGGAGAGCCCGGCATCGTCCGCTGCCTGCTGAGCCATGGGAGTTAATAATTACTGGGTTTAAGGAGATAGAGGCCTGTCGGAGAGGCACCTCCCTCACAGGCCGCTGCTCCTCAGAGATAGCAAAGGTTACTGTGAGCCTCAGCCTGGGGGTGGGGAGAAGGCTTCTGCCACCTTCCCACACGGCCGACTCCAGAGGGACCCTGGGTCTGGCCCTCCAGCCATGGACCCCACAGAGAAGCCTGCTGAGTGCCCGGCCCGAGGAAATTGTCCTGTGTTCCTGGCAGTGAGCTCAGGGACTGTCCGCTACGCTCCATCAGGTCTGGGCCCTGAACTCGAGGGGAACTTAGGAGAGCGGCCCTGGGACACAGACAGGTGAGCTAGTGACCTGGGGAACGGGGAATCTCGCCACTCAGCAGGGGCCTTGGGGGAGGGGAGAGGCGGGGCTCCACACAGGGGCTGCTGCTGCTAAGTCGCTTCAATCGCGTCTGACTCTTTGTGACGCTATAGACTGTAGCCTGCCAGCCTCCTCTGTCCATGGGATTCTCTAGGCAAGAATAGCGGAGTGGGTTGCCACGCCCTCCTCCGGGGGATCTTCCCGACCCAAGGATTGAGCCTGTGTCTCCTGCATTGGCAGGCGGGATCTTTACCACTAGCGCCTCCTGGCAAGCATAGAACTAGGAGGAATTTCAGGAGCCTTCTACAGGGTTAGCCACCAGGGAGGGCCCTGATTTGTCTCCTCCAGCTTGTGGTACAGATGTAGCATCTGAGGCTCAGAGAGGGCAAGACACTCATCTTTGGTCACACAGTGAACTGAAGTCTAGATCCAGGGCCTACGTCATCCAGGCTGGCAAGTTTCTCCCGGATGGGGTCTGTGGCCAGGGCTGCCAGGCTGCAGATGGCAGGGGTGAGAGGGGGCGTTTGGGGGAAGGCAGTGACTTGGGGGGCAGAGGACACACCTTTTATATTCCCTTTCCACTGGCTGCCAGGCATCTAATGGGCTCCCCTTATTGCCGGATAGCATGGAGCTGCTGCTTCCAGAGAGCCCTCTGGTTTCTGGGCTGTCTTTTCAGGAAACTGGCATAGGGGCCATAGCCCTTCCTCCCCTGGCTGTGTGACATTCAGGTTTCCTTAATTTCTCTGAGCCCATGGTTTTCAACCGAGGAGCATTTGTCGGAGGAGCTAGTGAGGCCTTGGGAGTCCTAAGCAGCTGCATAGATCATGGGGTATTTTCGGCTGGTAATTAGGGTGGTGACGGTGACTCGTCACTTGTCCTTCAAAGCCTCGCTCAAGGGTCTCCCCAGCTGAAGACTCCCTGGGGCTGTAGCCCTGGGCTGACACCCCCTACACCCGTTATCTCCCACCAGTCTGGGTTACCACGACTTGGACCGGGTCTTATCTCCTGCCAGGGCTTGTGAAGACCTGGAGGGTGACCTCCCTGTCCAGAGCTCCATCTGTGTCCTTCTTCCCGCTCCCCTAAAGAGTGAGCAGAGCAAGGTCCAGGAGGACAGCAGTTGCTCAAGACTTATTTGGTGAAGGATTTGTCAACAAACATAATGACATGCTTTGGGAGAGACCCTGGGCTGGACTGCGGTGGGTGGAGAAACACAGACCCAAGGAGGAGCTGGTCGCTGCCCTTGGGAAACCACAGTTGTGGAAACGAGTGCCCTACAGAGTGAAGGAGAGAGATCCGCACAGAATGAAAAGAAAGTCACAGAGGACTGCACAAGTCAGGTTCACTGCGCAAGGTGCCAGGGGGCATGAGAGCAAGGCATCGAGTCTGGCTTGCCTCCACTCACCAAGTCCTGTTCCTGTTCCTTCCTAGTCCTGCCCACCTAGGAAAGGAAGACTGTTCTCTCTCTCTCTCTTTTTTCATTTTGGCCCGACCAGACAACATGTAGGATTCTAGTTCCCTGACCAGGGATGGAACCCATGCACCCTGCAGCGGAAATGCAGATTCTTAACCACTGGATCCATTGTTCCAGTAGCCTGTTGTTCTCTATTTTGAACTAAGACACTATCCACTTTGCAAGGTGTGCCTTGGGAGTGCAGGTCCCCACTGTCTATCTTGCCACAATACTGAGGACATGTATACTGAGGACTGTCTTCCTCCTCGCCCCAGGAAGACAGAGCCTGTGTCTACCTAGTTTCCTTTTGGGTCCCCAGCTCTCATATGACCCATAGTTTGTGTTCAGAAGGGGTCGCTGAATGCATTGTTGTTGTTCAGTCGCAAAGTTGTGCCCAACTCTTTGCGACTCCATGAACTGCAGCACGCCAGGCCTCCCTGTCCATCACCTACTCCCAGAGTTTACTCAAACTCATGTCCATTGAGTCAGTGATGGCATCCAACCATCTCATCCTCTGTTGCCCTCTTCTCCTCTTGCCCTCAATCTATCCCAGCATCAGGGTCTTTTCCACTGAGTCCAATGAGTTGAATGCATGCATGAACAACATGTGTGTCCCCAGAGGAAGACCCAACAAAACTCAAGCCTGGGGCCCCAGCCCTAGCTCCGGGTCTAAGGGTAGTGCCCCAGGTTCTAGCAATATGAAAGAGAAATAGCTCTTCCCAGTCTCCCAGGCCTCCTCTAGACAAGGAGGGTGGAAGCCACGGTCCCTGGCACAAGAAGTGGGGTTATGCTCTCAAGGAATCAGCCCCAGGCTGGAGTCGAGGCCGATGGTCAGGGCTCCAGATGAGTGACAGAGGGACAGAGGGGTTGAGGGACAGGCTAGACCAGTGTTTAGGGAATTTGCAGATGAGGGACCTGACAGGTGTATGTGTTGGGGGAGGGGTGGATGGGTCCTAGTCCCCCAGAAAGTAGGTGGTGGGCAAAGGCAGGGGTGGGCAGAATCTGTTCAGAACAAGAAGGGAGGCCCCCTAGTTTGGGGGTGGGGGGAGGTAGCTGCAGACTTGGGCCAAAGGTGAGGCCTCCCTTGGAAGAAGCACTTAATAGGAGGGAGAAAACTGGTTTTGGGGTGAGCCCCCCCTTCTCACCAGGAAGGATGTTGCTGCAGAGCAGAAGCCCAGGGAAGGAGTGATGGCCAGAGGGCCGGGTGAGAGGGACGGGGTGGGAGGGCGTCCTCTAAGAATCCGGGAGCTGAAAGCTTGGAGCCATGGTAGGTGCTTGAGCAAGGGTGGTCTTGCGAGGGAGCTGCGGGGCTCTGGGCGGAGCGGAGTCGGCTGGGAGCATCCGAGAGCCTCGCGGGCCGCGGGGTGCTGGGGATCGGCTCCTCTCCGCCTCGGGCAGTCGCACTGTCAGTCCCGGGCTGGCGGCCCGAGCCGGGCTGGGCCGGGAGCGCGCTCGAGTTCTCCGCATCGGCCGCCGGAGGGGCGGGGCCGGGCACGTGTCCTCGGGCCACCCCTCTGCCACGTGACCGCCGAGGGCAGGGTCGCGGCGGGACCCGGGGCCCGGGCCGCGCAGACCCACAGGCAGCGGGCAGCACTGACAGGCGGTGGGGCAGCCCGGCGGGCCCCGGGCGGAGTCGGCGGCGGGCGGGGACGGCGCGAGGAGCTAGCGGGGAGATCGCCGCGGCGGCGCAGGGAACCGACGCCCGGCGGGCCCCCAAGCGCCGGGATGTGGAGCGGGTAGGTCCCCAATGGGTTGGGCCGCGGCTGCCTCCGGGGGTGGGACAGTGCGGGGGGGGCATCCCTGCCGTGTGTGCACCCTGACCGGGAGGTGCTCTACGCCCCCATTCCTGCCCGCGACTGGGGATGGAAGGACACCCGGCCCGGAGCGATCAAGGGGTTTCTCTGCGGGGCAGGGAGTATGAAGACCGTCCTGAAGTGATGGCACCAACTCCTCAGAGCTAGTTGGGAGCGCAAGTGAGATTGGGGGAAGGGAGTGGGCGGCGGAACGCAAGCCAGAGTAAGCCTGGGAAAAGACCTACAGGAAGGACGCCCCCCCCCGCCCCCGCCCCTAGGCTGGGTGAACCCTTGAAACACAGTGCATTTGGGAAAGGGGGACTGGGTCTGTGTTAAGTTGGCTTGCAAGCTGGTGAACCTCCGTCTGGGGCTCCTGAAGCGTCTGGGCTCAGAGGTGTGGGTTGGGACCTGCCTGCAGGCTGGCAGCCGGCAGCACGGACTCTGGGCCCTGGGTAGTGGCTCTGGTACCCATATCTGTTCACTGATGCTCAAGGGTCCCTGGGTGACCTGATGTGGGATCCCTTCCCTGTATGTGCAGAAAGACTGCATGGTTTTCTCACCAAGTGGGGTAAACACTTCTTCTTCCTCATGAGCCTGGAGAGACCAGGTCCTGGCGGAGATGTGGCCAGAGGTGGTGGGGGTGGGGGCTGGTATTCCTGGGTGGAACCAGCCAGATGGGTGGTCCCAGGACAGGGCTCCTCCCAGTCGCAGCTGGGGAGTGAGGGAAGCCCCAGAGGAGAGGCTGGCGGGCTGGGAGTTTGATGCAGGCTGGATCCACTTTACTCCACGGCACCTAGCAAAGCTGGAGCTGAGATGCTAGGGGAGGAATGGGGTGGGGGGGAGTTATCTCCAGAAAGGGACTCTGAGAGAATGGGCTCCTGTAGGGGTGAGGTGTGGAGAGGCGAGAGAACTTTTAAAGGGAAAGAGTTAGGCAGAGCGTGGATTCTTTTGGAATTGCGCCCTGGGGGAAGGAGACTGAGCTTAGGGAGAAGGAGGTTGAGGTGGGCTGCTGACAGTTGGTGAGGTTAGAGTGATCCTGCTGGGGGTTAACCATGTTTGAGTAGCCTGGGTGGAGGGAGCTCGTGACTCCTTGCGTTGGGTGCACCCAGGCACACACACAACCACCGAGGAGTTGTGTGATCCTGAGGATATGGCCTCACTTCTCTGAGCCTCTAGGTTGTGTGGTGGGACTGATCCAGGCCCAGAGTGTGTCCTTTCCCGCGCATCCAGGCTGGGCCTGCCAAACAAGTCTGGGACCTCTCAGTAGAGGGATGCTCATTTTAAAGACAGAATCAGAGTCCCAGGACCCTCTGGATGGACCAGGCTTCTCCAGCGGATCCTCACTTGATGCTCAGTGTGGCTCACTTGGATTCCCCAGGGCTTAGCTGAGTGCAGAGCACACACTAGGTGCTTCATAGATGCAGACGGAAAGCATGAGACAGAATGAGGCATTTGGGGATCGAGAGGCAGAATTTGGGGGTTACCATGAGCACTGCCTTCTCATGGACCCTTCACTCAGGTATTGGAGGTAAGGACTGAAGGATCAGGAGTCAAGCTACTAGCACTCACTGGGGGCCTGCTGTCCTGGGAGATCACAGACCCCAGCAGCAGTGGGGAGGGATACTGCTTGGGCCATGCTTGCCCAGGTAACTGATTGAGCTGCTGTGACAATTCTGGGCAAGTCCCTACCTGGGATCCTTCCTCCTAGACTAGGTGGGGTGGTGAGGAGTCGATG